CTCAGTTTGTTTCCTGCGATTAAGAATTCCTCATATCAATGAGATCGTATGATTCATGTCTTTCTCTGTTTGACTTATTTCACTCAACATAATACCCTCCAGTTCCATCCACGTCGTTGCAAAAGGCAAGATGTCATTCCGTTTGATGGCTGCATAATATTGAATGGAGCACTTCTTATGTGCCCCCTCAGGTTCTCTTGGCCTCACTGCCCTTAGTATTTCCTTTGCTCCTGCTACTATATTGTAAATTTTAAAACTGAATATTTTCCTACTGCCTCAATGTCTTCACGAACAGGCTGTGAGCACACCACCAATGAGATAAGGCTGACACCTTGCCACCAATGCCCCTTCTTTCCCTGCCCTGACTGTGACCTAGTAACATTCAAATGTTTTTGAATTGTTCAAATGTTTTGCTTGTGTACTCCACCTTGACCCCCAAAATGGTCATTTACCCACAGGTCTTTCCTCTCTTTCTTGGCTCTCCACCTGCTTGGTTGAGCCTGCTGCCTTGGCACTTCTTCCATGTGGCCCCCTTGCAACGTTAATGACTCCATCTCTCTAGGACTTGCAAGTAAAATAAGCTTTGTTTCCCTGAATCTCTCCCATGTCCCCTCTAGTGGTTCTACCTGACTGACCATCTCATGAAAGAAAACAAAATAGTTACCATGATGAAACTTATTTCAGACAGGGACAACCCAGCAGTTGTCCCTGTATGAAACATTTGACCCCACCTTCCTATCTTTTATGACACACCACAGAGATCTGAAGGACCCAGTGATCCATAGGTCTCGAGCCTTCACTGTCCAGGGCCAAGCAAGTCCTTATGCTTCCTTGAGCACCTAATACTCTAGGAGTCACTGTGTGACTGGGGTCTTCACCCAAGTATGTGATCCTGTTAGTTATTCTAGGAATGAAACCAAGGCTATTCCTACAGGGCATCCCCTTGACAGATCAGACAGGCCTTACCTGAGCAGACTACTCCAGCATCATAATTATGGGAAAAGTATTCCTCACGGTAGTCTTGAATAGGAGGATGATCACAGTCATTGAGAGTTAATTCTGTCCCTTCACAAACAGTATTAACAAGCCAAATAGGCCCATGCCCTGATCCAAAATGAGCCCCTCTGGGAGCATCAACAGCATGTCCACATTCCAGCTGTCTGCACACCACATCTGCAGCCTTCATATACCACTTGTAATCATCCACCGTGCCCCATTCTCCTTGGTATTTCACTTCCACTCTCCCCTCACAGCGGTGGCCCCCATTCATCAGCCTTAGCTCCGTAACTGTAAGAGAAACAAAAACACAGAACACAGGACACAGGAAAGATTTTAGGATATTAGTGGTATGCTGGTAAGTATTAAAAAATGAGCTCTCCGGGGGAGGGAAAAAAAAAACCTCTCATGTATAGCATTTGTTGATTTCTGTGGTATAAATATTCCCACTGTGGTCGATTTTAAGCTACCAATGTGGCATCACTGAACATGGAGTTGGGAAGAAATGCACACAATTATTTCTCACAAGCAAGTAAGATTCAGCTCCATGAGTATCAATGAGGACAGGCCTTCAGATGACTCTAACTGCTGCCTTCCCAGTACACATAAGGCTGGTAGGGGCCCAAATTCTCCCATCTCATTTACAGTTCATGGCCCATGAAGTCAGTGGAGGACTATTCCCATTCCTTCTCTGTCCCATAGGGAACATTCTCATCTAGCTTTGGAAGAAAGGACTGTGGTAAGCAGCCTCTAAAATGTCCTGATTATTCCTACTTCCTGATATTCACACTTTTACATAACCCTCCTAGCACCTGAATGTGGCCTAAACCTAGTAACATTCATCTAACAATGGAATTTGGTAAAAGTGATGTGATGTCACTTAAAAAATCAAGTTTCAAGATAATTCTGGTTTCTCCTGTTGACCTGTCTTGCTCTCTCACTTGCTTGCTCTGATGAAGCAAGCTGCCATATGGTGAGCTGCATGTGGAGAGACCAACATGACAAGAGCCTGAGGGAGGCCTCTAGTCAAGAGCCAGCAAGGGACTGAGGCTCTCAGTTTAGATAGTCCTCCAGGGGATCAATGCTGCCAATAACCAGGTAAATAAGCTTGGATGGTATTCAGTCCCATTTGAACCTTAAGATAATTGCAATCTTGTGAGAGATCATGAATCAGGGGACCCAGATAAGCCATGCCCAGATTCCTGGTCCCCAGAAACTATGAGATACTATTTGTTGTACAGAGATCTATTACTAATTTAGGGGTTCTCTGTGTAGTCAGAAAACAGCAAGTTGGACAAGCTAGAGATTTATATAAGGGGCTTAAGTGCTTCATCCAAATAAGACTTCTTCCTAAGTGGCCAATTCTGTGACCTTGGTCCTACTTGGAACTGGGACCTAAACCACCTCTTTCTTGTCATATCAGTTTTTATCCAATGAAATAGGTTCCTGCTCTCCCATCAGGAACAGAGAAGTGGATTTCCTAAAGTCCTAGAACCATCTCCATTAGCTTTGCATTGGGGTTAGCAAAATGAGATTTTTTTTTCTTATACTATAATCAAAACGTGGTCCCTGGGGTACCTTTCACACTGCTCAGGTCTGTACCTGGTTCCATATGCTTCCACTCTGGAAATCAGATGTGGTGCATCAAAAAGATGGGAATGGGGCGCCTGGGTGGCTCAGTTGGTTAAGCGACTGCCTTCAGCTCAGGTCATGATCCCAGGGTCCTGGGATCGAGTCCCGCATCGGGCTCCCTGCTCTGCAGGGAGCCTACTTCTCCCTCTCCCACTCCCCCTGCTTGTGTTCCCTCTCTCGCTGTGTCTCTCTCTGTCAAATAAATAAATAAAATCTTTAAAAAAAAAAAAGATGGGAATGTATCGAACTTGGAAACAATCCTAGTGTGCTAGTCTGCTCAGGCAGGCTGCCATAACAAAATACCATAGACTAGGTGACTTAAACAGAAATTTATTTTCTCACAGTTCTGGAATCTGGAAAGTCCAAGATCAAGGTGCTGGTATGTCAGCTTTCATTCTGAGACCTCTTCTCCTGGCTTGTAAGCCACTGCTGTCTCACTGTGTGTGCTCACGTGGCTTTTTCACAGTACGTGTACACAGGGAAAGATGGAGAGAGATCACCCTCTTTCTTTCTCCTCTTATAAGACCACCAATCCTATTGTATTAGGGCCCCACCATTATGACCTCATTTAGCCTTAATTACCTCCTAAAGACCCTATCTCCAAAGATAGTAAAAATGGGAGCTAGGGCTTCAACATATGAATTTTGAAGGGACACAATTCAATCCATAGCACCTGAAGAGGTACATTCTAGGAAGGAAATAAAGATAAATGGGAAGAAGGTAAAGGAGATAGTAGAAGAAGGGAGACATCCTGTGAAGCTTACTCAGTTTTTTTTTAAAGTCTAAAATTGAGGTGAGAGTAAAAGATTGAAATGGGATCCTAAAAGTGCATAAGAAACTATTATTAATAGTCAAATCATCAAAATAATAATAGTAATAATAAAATCATCAAGGGACACCTAGGTGGCTCAGTCAATTGAGCATTCGACTTGAGAGATCAAGCTCCACATCGGGCTCTGTGCTGGGCGTGGAGCCTGCCTAAGAGTCTCTCTCTCCCTCTATCTCTGCCCCTCCCCCCTCAAATAAATAAATCTTTTTAAAATAATAATAATAAAATAATGGATTAAGAGGCAGATCCTGTGCTAAATGCTGTAAACACAGAAATAATTAGACAATATTCTTGTCTTCAGGTAGCTTGTTATCTAGTTGGTGACACAAGCAAGCAGATGATTTCATTACTGTGAAAAGTTCCAGGAGACTTTCTTAGGAATAGTAAGCTTGGTTATTTGAATTTATCTTTTCTGCTGAAAATAAATAAAATAAAAAGTGGAATAAAACATACTAAAAATGATCTTAAAAGATTAAATACCTAAGATAGGAAGGAAAAATCAGGTCAAATCTGAAGGGAAAATGGGAATTCGTTGGGACACAGGAGCATGGAATGTGCTTTTACCTGACAGCATTAGCTTATTCAAGAAAATGTGTTTAATTTATGGCCTTTGATGGTGAGGAGGCACAAATCAAATCCCAAACCCATTCCCACATGAGAACTCTAACAGAAGACAGACTCCACAATAGCTGGGATACTAGTTGAAATAGACGTGCCCTTGTATAAAATTACATTTAAAGTTTGAACCTCTAGATTATCTAGATAATATCAATGTTGCACTTGTATTAAGGTAGCCTACTATTAAAAGTGCCATAAAATCATGGAAAAATTAAAATAAGATCCTCACAGAAGAAACTGCCTTCATGCCAGGCCTCAAATTACTTCTATAAAGAATTTTCATAAATAAAATACCCAGTACATTGTCCAGAATAGACAAATACACAAAGAAACAAAGGTCCATTAACAATAACCAA